ATACTAATGGGATTGCTCTTTGTCTGCTAAGCAGAGCATAAATATAGTGTCATGGTTTAAAAAAAAGAAAACGAGAGAGAGAAAGAAACTTTTTGCAGAAGAGTTGATTCCAACTCATACTGACCCTATAGGATAGAGTAAAATTACTCCATAGTGTTTCTGAGGCTATAAATCTTAGGGAAAGCTGATTGCTGCATTTTTCTCATATGGAGTGGTTGGTGGGTTCCATCCTCTGCCCTTTGGTTAGGAGCAGGGTGTTTAACTATTGTGCAACCTGAGGTCCATGCCATGGTTAAAGAACAATATTATCCAGACTGACTGAAATTGAATGATAGCTCCAAAAACATCCAACTGTGTAATGACTTCATGCAAAGTAATCTTCTGGTGTCACAGTTTACTGAGCTGTAAAATGGCTAGCAATGATAGCAACATGTAGTGTTCTTATTTGAATTAAGTCATTTACTATAAGTAAAACACCTTGAAGAAGTACTGGAATTTATAAAGGACCATTATTATTCTTATCTATTATCATTAACCATTATTAACTATTATTGTCATTAACTATATTATTTTCATCCTTTATATTATTATTGTTATTAAAACTGATTTTAATCCATTCTTATGAATATTACTCAGTATTCAATACAACATGAACAATACTCTCTCTATAATTTATTTGCCTTTTGTATTATTTTGGGAATGAAGTGAGAACTTAAATTATGAATGTGTTACAAAACTTAAAAAAAAAAAAAAACCCAACTCTCAAGTTGCAAATTCCCCATAAACTCTGTGCCAATCTCTGGCTTTATATTATTATGTCTGATCTGTGGACTGTGTGTCTATAGTAACAAGCAGTCCTCAGCATTTCAAGCTGCAATTAAAGGCATGTATTTTGTATGCATTTTCTTTTGCTGATATTAAATGATCTGAGGTAAATCATGTGACTGTTTTCTACCTTGAACTCAATACAGAGACTAGAAAATGGGTACAGCTAATATAGCACTCAGGATTTTATTCTGAAATCAAATAAAGGAACAGACATTATTAAAATGAAAGCATCGCTCTTAAAGGGACAGAAGAACTAAGATTCCCAAGAAGGTGAAAGAGCATAGTGTTTATGAATTATTTTGTGAATGACAGAATTTAATAAAAAAAATAACTTGTTTGTGGTAGGCACTGTCAAGTCAAATCCCATTCAGATCAACTCCACATACAACAGAACAAAACACTGCTTGGGCCTGCGCCATACTCACAACCTAATTGTTATGTCTGAGCCTATTGTGGCAGACACTGTTTCAGTCCGTATCATTGCAGGTCTTCCTGTCTTTTGCTAACCATCGAGTTTACCTAACTTGAATTTCTTCTCTAGGGACTGGTCCCTCCTTATATCATGTTCAGAGTGAAAAAAAAACTTATTGTACTTTATTCTATGGAATATTCTGGCTCTACTTCCAACCCGGATTTGTTCCTTTTTCTGGCAGCACTTGTCATATTCAATACTTTTTTCTAACCCGGTAACTCAAAGACATCAGTACATCTTTGGTCTTTCTTGTCAATTGTCTAGTTTTTGCATGTATATGAGGCAACTGAACATATCACGGCTTTGTCAAGCACACTTTAGTCCTCATAATATCTCTTCTTTTGAATACTTTAAAGAGGTCTTTTGAAAAAGATTTGGCCAATGCAATACATCATTTATTTTCTTGGCTTTTCCTTCAGGAGGCATTAATTGTGGATCCAAGCAAATAAATCTTTGACAGTTTTAGTATTTCCTCAGTCTAGCACACTGTTGCTTAGTGGTCCACTTGTGAGACTTTCATGAGTGACTAATTTTTGTCAATGTCCTCAAACTACTTAAGCCTCAGCTATGTTTGTAATTTTTATATAATCTACAAAATGAACTCTGAAATTAATTTGAAAAAAAATATGAACTTTAATAAACTTTCTTCAGTATTTTATGAATTCTTGAACTTAAAAAGATTATTTTGCTCATAACAAATGATTTTTTTTTGATTCATCAAGGGTTATAAATTTATTTCATTGATTGTTTAACTTAAATACATTATTATAATATTATCACAACTAAAATACACAAATACAATGCTTATTTGCTAAAAAGTATTTACTGGAAATGAGATGTTCATTTAATATTACTTGGAATGCTTACAAAATATATAGCAGTTCTTCAAATTTTCAGTGTTTCTAAGTAATTTAATGCAGTATTTAAAATATTTATTTATAGTAAATTACATTTAATAGAGTCAGGAATATATAAGAGCTGCTTTAATGGGATACCATATTTGTTTCGCTTTATTAAATATAATTTTAATAATATCATGAACTAAAGTTGAATATTAATAAAATAATTTCATATTTACCTTTCTTATTTGGGAAAAAGAAGCCCTGTCTGTGCGGTGTTTAACACACTCAGCTGCTAACCAAAATGTCGCAGGTTCCAATCCACCGGCTGCTCTGTGGGAGAAAGAAATGGCAGTCGGCTTCCATAAAGACTCACAGGCTTAGAACCCTTTAGGGAAATTCTACTCTGTCCAATACAGTGAGTAGGAGTCGGAATCAACTCCACAGCACTGGGTTAGGATTTTAGTTTATTTGAGATAATATTCTTTTTTCCTCATTGAAGAGAGTTTAAGTACTTAAGCATTTTAATTGCTTTGACTGAGATAACTTGTTTCATCAAGGGTATTCAATCCAACTTTTGAATGTGGAGTGCACTATAAATAATAATAATAAAAAAAATAGTTATCTCTACTGGGATCACTTTCACCTGACACAGTTAAATTTCTAATTAAACAAATCTCTATTTATTTATTTATTTATTTACCCAGATAGGTCTCACTCTACCCACACTATTCTTCTTCTGCTACCTGTCAATGGAATAAAATGCACATGATGTTAAATTTCTTAGACTTGAATAAGGTCCTAATTGGCCTGAAGTGAGCAATACCATCAGAGGCCATTCAGTATTGACGCAAAACCAATCTTCACCTTACCTATTATGACTGCTTCAAATGGACATGTTGTTCCTAGTAGACTGAACTCGTGCTAATTTTTTTCTGAAATTATTTTGCTTACTTCCTCCTCTTAAATGGGTGCTCCTATCCAAATTCAGGGGCAGGCCTGTGAAAAAAAAATTCTGGAAAGAAAGAATATTTTACCTACAAAATATTTAATATAATTGATTTCTCAAGACTACCTGGAAAACAGAACTAGCCACTGGATATAATGAATGAAGATCTTTTTTTTTTTTTGCCCCCAAATTAATCCCAACACAGAGACTTTTTCTTTCCCTTGCAGCATTCCACCAACCCTTGCCAATGTCATTCATACTAGGACCCCACTTTTAAGGTGTGA